ACTCCCAGAATTCCCCAGCCAGCATTTGCTGGCTGGGGAATTCTGGGAGTTGAAGTCCGGACATCTTCAAGTTGCCAAGGTTGAGAAACACTGGCCTAGAGAATTCTGGGAGTTGAAGTCTACCTATTTTCAAGTAGCCACGGTTGAGAAACACCGTCCTAGTGAATTTCCATGGTTGAGAGTGACTTTGAACCTGGATTTCTCCAGAACCTGGTCCAATGCTGTAACTCCCCATGCCATGCCTTTCTGTCTCACGACCGGGAAGGTTTGGCGGTATCTACTTTTACGTGCAACTGACATGGATCTTCATGCAGTTGCTACAGGCTAACTCACTCTTCACTCAGTCCTGAGAGGCTCCAGGTTGACTCAGCCTTCCGTCCTTCTGAGGTGGGTAAAATGAGGACCCAGATAGTTGGGGGCAAGAAGCTGACTCTGCAAATTGCTCAGAGGGGGTTGGAAAGCACTGAGAAGCGGTCTAAGAGACATTGCTATTAAATGGGCTCCCAATAGCTTCCCTGGTTTTAGCTGCTGCCTAAGGACAGTTGTGAATCTCTCTGGAAAACCTGAATGGTTCCATTACCCTCCGATGTTAATGAAACGGTTTTAATATTACAATAAGTGAGATTTCCCCCCACCCACCCACAATCCTTTCCATATTAAAGGGAATTGGATTGTTATTAGAGCATATTTCACGGAGATGGAAAGGAGCTCTAATATGTGCTTGACTCTTAAAGCAGTTAATCCTGTATTAATTGTAGTTGGGATCCATCTGTCCTTGTCGGCTGGCAAAGCATTCATCACTCCAGGAAGGCTGGGATGTCTCTGAAGGCGGGAGAGCTCCCCCTGCAGGACGTTTCTGATAACAGCCAAGATTGATGTCGGAGTGAAGGAAAAAATCCTAGCAGAAAACCTAATGCTGTTTCCCCCTATACAGGCAGTCCTCGACTTACAACTGCAATTGAGCCCAAAATCACTGTGGCTAAGTGAGACATTTGTTGATTGAGTTTTGCTCCATTCTATGACTTTTCTTGCTTTTCTTTTCTCCAGCAAATCACTGCAGTGGTGAAATAAACAACACGGTTGTTAAGTGAATCTGGCTTTCCCATTGACTTTGCTTGTCAGAAGGTCGCAAAAGGGATCACGTGACCCCGGGACACTGCGGCCGTCATAAATATGAATCAGTGGCCAAGCATCTGAATTTTGATCATGCAGCACATGGGGGTGGCTCCAACGGTTGTAAGTGAGAAAAACTGTGATAAGTCACATTTTTTATCACTATTGTAACATTGAGCGGTCACTAAATGAACTGTTGTAAGTCGAGGGCTACCTGTACTTTCTCTTCTGGTCAGTGAGCTCCTCCAGGTTTTGGGATCCTGCCTGAAAAGGAGGGGAACGTGGATGCTAACCTCTTGTGAAGTCCCTCTTCAAGCCACTTCCATTCTCCCAGCCCCACAATTATATCTCTGCCTGGCTTTTCCGCGTTTAAGGATGCCTTCTGTGGCATTCTGGCTTTAATTGTTTTGAAAACCTTAAAGCAGTGTTTCTCAACCTTGGCAACTTTGAGTCCTGTGGCCTTTAAGTCGCCAAGGTTGAGAAACATTGCCTTAAAGGAAGACAAAAACTCTGCACAACTATGTTGTGAGAATATGAACCCTTTCTGGCATGTCTGGCCCAGGGGTGGGTTCCTGCGGGCATCACTACTGGTTTGGTGGCTGAAAAATTTTGCTTTGCTCGTGCACACGCCAAACACACGCTTTGCGCACATGCACATTTGCCGGAGGGCATCTGGGGGGGAGGGCGAGGGAGGCTGTTTTCACCCCTATAAAGCCTCTGGAGCCTGGGGAGGGTGAAAAATGGCCTCAAAAAAAGGCTGGCAAATGGCTCTGTGTGCCACCTGTGGCACGCATGCCATAGGTTCGCCATCCCAGCCCTAGACCATTTCTGACAAATGGCAGTCCAGTCCCCTCTTGAAAGCCTCCAGTGATGAAGCTCCCACAACTTCTGAAGGCAACTTCTGTTCCATTGCTTGATTGTTCTCACTGTCAGAAAATTCCTCCTTATTTCCAGGTTGAATCTCTCCTTATAGCAATAGCAATAGCAGTTAGACTTATATACNGTATGTATGTATGTATGTATGTATGTATATGTATGTATACACATCATTCATATATACATACAAACACACATGTTTGATTAAGAAAAGAACAATAATTACATTTATTGGAGACTCAAAATATCTTATGGATGTTTTGCTAAAGAAAAATGTGATTTACGGATTTGATGATTTGAGAGTGAATTATGGAAAGAAGAAAATTATGATGCACTCTTAGAGAGAGAGAGAAAGAGTAAAATATAAATATATTTACTGTATGTATCTGAACTGTGTTAGGAAGTGTGGAAGGCACATTTTATGCCTTTTTTCTATTTTTTCTTCATACTCTTATTTCTTTTGCTTTATTTCTTTTTCACTTTCTTATTACTCATCCCTATTTTTCTTTTCTTCAGTTCAATTGTTCAAAATTTGTTTTTATTCTGTTGAAAACATCTTTCAGAAAAATATATATATATATATTTATTTAAAGGATTTTTGACCAAAGTATTACACTTTTGGTGATTTAAAACAATGAATAATTTTTGAAAGATAATGAAGCCTTTTCATCATTTTCCCCCCATTTTGGAAGCCTACTCTAAATGCAAAAATGACTTCCATGTTATGTCATCTATACCAGTACAAAGCAGGAAAACTTGTTTTTATTACTCATTTTTATGTAATTTTTATTTTTTTTATTTTCCTTGGTCATCTTTGTCTTTGAGAACCGTCTTGGGTTTTTTGCTGTCAATATGTTTTGCAGAAAAAGTCACAAAGCATTTACACTAAGGTGATATCAATTATCTTTTTGCTGCAATTTTGGCTGCAAGAAATGGTGGATCAAGGGATGGTGTGCCCTGTAATTGACCAACTTTAATTGAACTCCTCTGGACTCTAGGGATTTCCAAAGAACAGAGCAAAATAGGAACCCAGTCAAGATTGATTATGTTGGAGTTTGTTTTTCTTGTATACTTCTACATTCAGCACATCCAAGAGAAAGAGCCAAAATGTTAGGTTGTTCTATATTCAGAAGCCATAGCAATGATCATTTGGGCAAAGCACATCTGTGATTTGCTATGTTACTCTTCAGGCTGTGCATGCTAATACGGCTTTCTCAGGTGATGTGCTATGATGCTAAATGCATGATGGACAACCCTAGTATTAAATACAAATCTTACCATTCAGGTGATCTCATCATTGGTGGCATTATTTCTCTGATCTACATGATGTCTAATCTAGTCACCTTTAAAAGACTTCCATCTGAAGAACTTCTTGATGATCCCATGTATGTACTTGTCATTCTTAGCTCCCTAATCTGGCTGGGTAGAGACAATATATTTTGGAAAAGGATAAATGGTTGATACATAGATACAGTTATCGTTTCTCTTCTCAGAGATTCTATTTCTTATATCACAATCATTGCGTTAACACCAAGACAATGATTTTGTTCCCACTTTATTTCACCTTCATTAAAGCTATATTAGGTTTTGCTTAACAGATATCTGAGTCATCCCCAAGCCTCTGCTTCTATAGTTTCTATAGTTTCTAATGCTTCTGTCCCAAACCTCCATGGTACATTACTTCCAACATAATATTGTATTTCTATAACTGATCAGATCTCATCTTGCTCAGAAAATACATTTCCATGACATAGTCCTAGATGCAGACACAGATCATCAGAGTGGGAAGGGACCTTGTAGGTCCAGTCCCCAACCCAAGAAGACCCTACACTATTTTTGACAGATGTTAGTCATCTCTCTTCTTGAAAGCTTCCATTGATGAAGCTGCCACAACGTCCAAAGGCAAGCTGTTCCATCGGTTGATCGTTCTCACTGTCAGAAAATGTCTCCTTATTTCCAGGTTGAATCTCTCCTTGTTCACTTTCCATCCTTTTTCCTTGACTGGCCTTCTGGTGCTTTGGAAAATAGCTTGACCCCTTCCTCTCTATAGCAGCCCCTCAAATATTGGAGCACTGCTCTCCCCTGGTCTTTCTCTTCACTAGATTAGCCATACCCTGTTCCTGCAACCGTCCATTGTATGTTTTAGCCTCCAGTCCCCTCATCATCTTGGTTGCTCTTCTCTGCACACTTTCTAGAGTATCAACATCTTTTTTATAGTTAATCAATTTATTTTGGAGACTTAACACACATTCGATACAGAAGAATGTCTGCTGTTTGCGTTATGTGTCTATGATTATCATTTTGGTTTGATGTCACTTTTTTATTGATTGCCTGGAATTCATCAAAACAGGAATAGATCTAACAGTTGACCATCCAATAGTTGACCATGACTTTTACTTAATATTTAGAAAGGACTTTTTTTCCCTATTGCATTTTCCCTTGACAGCGTTGAATTCTAACCCATCTGTATAGTTCATTTTCTCTAATTAAAAACTCTTGACATCAAAGATATGATTTCCTAGGAGATGACAATGTTTCATTTATAGATT